TCTTAACTCAAGCCGTTCTTAAGTCAAGACCCCACTGTAATTGTTTTTGTTTAATTGGTCTAAGGACTGTAATAAAAATATGATGATGGTGATGACTCTTGTAAGTCTGAATGGGGCCCCCATCCTATTTATGCAGCATATACAGTAATCTGACCCAATGCACAATACTGTTCCTGTAGCTCTACACTGTCTTAGCATGAGCTGGAGAGCAAGAAGCAGAGAATTATTTGCGAGTTGTCACCCCTGGCTGATGATGAGACTTAATGTGGGCAGTTGGAAATCTGAAATATGTCTCTGCAGTGGTGACCCTGATCATGAATGAGTGAGCTACCAGTCACACTTGTAAAAACAGCTCTGACAATTGCTTTGTGTTTGAGTGAGAAGTGGTTAACTGATGAAAAAGGGAGTTAGCCTCTGTGGTTTTCCCTTGTGTGGTGTCACTTTGTGAGTGGTAATAAGTAGAGATGGGCATGAATCTCAGTTTGAAGGTTCATGGCAGTTTGTCATTTTCTTCCCCCACTCACCAGCCAGCACACACTGCTCTTCTCCTCTTCGCACAATTGTCCAGTCACAGAGGAAGCACGGACTTCCCTTCTTTCCCTGCTCTCTGGCAACTGCCCACTCAGATGAAGAGGCAAGGCAGGGATTCCTGCTGCACTGTCTTTGAGCAGGCAGCTGCTGGAGGAGGTGGAGAATGGAAGTCCGTGCTCCTGCCGTGACAATCGCACAAAGAGAAGTAGAAGAGCAGCCAGCTGGTGAGTGGAGGAGCCAGATAGTGGTGGCGGTGGTGGAAGGGAACATCGATGAACTGGAAAGAATCTCTGAACCAGGGTTCATGCCCCTCTAGTAATGAGCACAAGAGGATATCCTATAGACCACCTTGACTGCTCCCATTCGTAAGCTATATCTCACTTGACTGGTAATATTATATACTAGACCCCAAATCTCTATTTAAATCCACAGTAATTCTGAATTTGGCTTGGGAATCAGTATGAATTGTCTCATTTCAGTCTGACCCCAAACCTGGGGGAGCAGCTTTGGACGCCTTGGCCAATGAGTTACCTGAAGAGTGTAACTTCTGTAACCCAAGTACATTGGGGGCCAGCGTCAGTCTGCCAAGGACTGGAAAGCATGTACTTTCCTCAACATCCGAATATTAGGTTCACATCCAGCCCCTGCAGTTCAACTCTTGGGGACTACTATTATAGTCCAGAGCACACAGAGAAAAGAGCTGTATGTTTTCAAATCTCAGTGGTGTATTGGAAAACATCTCAAAGGAAGACTGATTAACAAGATCTTCTACTTCTCAAATATTGCATGTTCTATCCTGGAATATTGCACTTGACTAGATGTATATGTCCCTACGTAGAAAAATGTATGTTTTAATGACAGGAGAAGAAATATAGTCTTGCCTTTTTCCTAGCTATGCTAATGTTTTTGTGTATGACTCCATAAAAGTATCTTGGGCATGGGTGAGTACGGAGAAGTATCGAGCTATGTAAGCTGCACCCCTATTCCTTCATTCTGAAATGCAATAGCCGAGATATGGGTTAACTACAACATTACACAAGTGCAAGAGAGATGCAGGCAAGAGATGTCTTTGAGACATTGGTTCACAAACTGTGCACCACAGTGCCCCCAGAGCACCACCAAACCGAGCCAGAGGCACCATGGAATCCCCTGAAGCGTTGGCCAGGCCAGGCTTCCCCATTCCCTTCTCCCCCCTCACCCACCCAAAGTATCATATTGGCGGAGCCATGACCAGTAAGTCAAGGGAACCATGAGTTGAAAAAGTTGGGAGCCACAGTTTTAAGAGAACGAACAATGAGACAAAACGGCAATGAGTGTTGGTGTGGCTGTACTCTGGCCAGAGTAGGATACATTGTGAGTTGTTTTGAACAGAGGTTTTGGTCTAATTTGGAGATGCTTCGGCTTGTTTATTTCCAGTTGAAGCTCACCTGAATTGAGGCAGGCTAAAAATACCATGAAAAGGAGAGAGAGAGGAACACAAATTGTGGTTGTGCGTGGGGGAGAGGGATGTTTGGAGGCTCCCACTGGTTACCAAAAGCAAAACTTGATCTTTTCCAGCAGCTTTTAAAAGCCCAGAGGGCATGTCTGTTCCGAGTTGTTCCTTCCTGGTCGACATGAAAGAGTCCCCTTTCCTGATATTCTGCCAGTGCGAAATGTTTTTGTCAGCTAATCACCTTCTTGACATGACCAAAACGCTTCCCCGAATCAGCCTAAACAGCATGTTTTATAACTCCCAATAGTTTAACACCCACTCGCTATTCTTTCCAGTGCATGAACCATAGCACAGAAATGAGTTTCAAGTAAAATGTGGCCTTATGCTCTCTTAGCTTTCACAGTTCTAGCTCTAGTTCATGGGCCAAGCCCCTAAAAGATCAGAATGCTAGAGGCTGGAGTTCTCCTTTATTTCCTCCCACTGGTATTAGCATGAATAGCTGGAAACATAAAACTTTTAGCAGCTGAACTTCTGACCGTCCAACATCCCGTACCCAGTTTTCATTGCTACTATGTTCATTCTCAAGATTCTCAAGAAAAACAAAAGCATGATAGCACCTTAAAGACCAGCAGATTTATTTCAGTATGGGCTTTTGTAGATTAAAGTCCACTTCCTCAGACACATTTGCGAAAAACACTCCTGGGAAATTCATTTCTCTTGATGAGAGTCATAGCTAGCATAGGATTTCTGCTTAGGTCCATTTACATACATGTTCGGCTAGCTATTCTCAGATTCTTATCACTTCCTAGTGATAGTTCTTTGCCTTGAGAATGACTGAGGAAAAATAGAAATGGCATATTTGGAACCACCTCAAACAATTATCCTGGGCAGGCAAATGACGTAATACCTCTGTGGTGGGGCCGTTTGAGAAAGACAGAATAAAAATATGCCAAAGGAATACAGGCTTTGTGCCTTCTAGGTAACACAGAGTGTGGAAAACCTTTATATAAATGGTACATTCTCCCTTTTTTGCTCAAAATGCACATAGCAAACATGGAGGGGCATCCCATTTCCTGAGTCTGATAGCTCTAACACCTGAGAGGATGAGGTGTGGATACTTGTGATGTCAAAGGGAAGGGTCCTTGTGAAGTCAGAAGCAAGCATTGGGAGGAAGAGTGGAAATGTTTCTGGGCCAGCTGGTTGCACTCACTAATAGGCATGGGAGGGAACACAAGGAAATGTGCCTAGAATCAGCTGGTGAGGTAATAATATGGCAACCCAGAACCAAGATCGCAAAAATATGTTTTCATGGTTGAGCAGGTGGTGGTAACATGTACCCAGGAATTGTAGCAACTGGAGCGTCATTGATCCTGCTGGGTATGACATCCCACAACACACACAAATATTAAACTTCTTCATCTTCCAGTGCTGCTTGCCCTGAGATTTGTCTCCTCGCCTGGAATTCCAGAAAATACCAGCAATTCCCTAAGATGGTACCTTGAGAACTAGCAACCCAAGCAAAAGATATTTATCTGTTAATACATTCATCTCCTGCATCCTGATGGCTCAACAGTACAGTGGCCTGTTGCAGATGATGACAAGGCTCCCGCACCTTTGCTAGTGGAGTGGAAGAGTGATTTAGTGGGTGGAGGCGATCCCCAGTGGGATGGCCAGAAGTGTTTTTCACATTTGTGCAGACAAGTACATTTCTGCAGGTGTGACTTTTACCTGCCTACAGGTACATCCTGGAGATTCCCTTTTCTCCATGGCCCTTAAAGCTGGAGGAGCTCTGCCTTCTATGGCATCGGACCATCATAGTCCACAGGAAAACATGAGCACATAGTTTTTGTCAACAACCATAGAGTAGGTGAAATGTAAGTGCAACTTCTGAGAATAACAAATGGTTCAAATACAATCCTCTTGTTCTATCTAGCCACCCTTATAATGATGGTTAGATGAGCAATAACAAATATGAATTGTTTTTAAAAATGAAGTGTGAACATGGAAAGGAAATAAAAGACAATGTTAGTAATTTGAAGAAAAATTATAACTGATATAAAAGGCAGGTTGCTGGGTACTGTAAAAATTTTAGCAGCTCGTGTGTGGGGATGCTTTAAAAATATTCTTCAATAGCACTGTTTATTTAAACTATGTGTCAGCATGGCTTAGCTATGTTATTTTTGGAGGCTGCAGAAGTATGAAAGGGAATAAAAACCAACTGTCGCCATTGATTGGAAATAATAAATTTAATTCTGGAGGGCAGAAATAACCAAAAACATGCATGCCTGTTTATCTCTACTCGTCTGATCTTTTTCTTTGTATTATTAAATAAATCAAAACCTCTTGTGGTTCCAACCTGTAACATAAGATCTTTAAGTGCCTGACTTACACATTTGGTAATGGACACAGCGGCTGCCAGCTTTGAAGGGAAACAGCCTGATCCAAATCGCCTTTTAGAGCCGTGCATGTGCACACGCGTCCCCTTGCCCATAGGCTGACCATCTACTGAATTTTTAACATTTATTAATAGGGTTGTATAGTGACTATTTTTCTCCACCTCCTACTTTCGCCCCTAAATTTATCCACTTCCTCAAGACTGAAAGTTAAGGTTTGTGTCGTTCTTTCAATTTTTTTTTTATTTTCTACAAAACGTTACGTACCATTGCTGAACATCTTCTCAAGCTAGTAGCACAACTCAGCCAAACAGGCTTTCGTGGAATTTTGGTGTCGCAGGGCTGTAAACAGATCTTACAGGGGAACAGGAAAACTCCCATCTGTGAAAGACAGCCATTCCTAGGTCCAAATAGCCTGGAGGACTACTTTTTATCAGAACTATTACATGCTCTTGAGGCCAGTAAAACAAGAGTTTCTTACCTCACAATATGGTTACATCACAATGCCATGCAAGGATTGTCCTACAGGGAGGAGAGTCCAGGCTGGTAAAAGATCTGAAGACTAAGTCCTATGAGGAAAAACTGGGGGGATTTTCAAGAAGACTTGAGAGTGCCCTGTCCCACTACCAAAAAACAAACAAACAAACAAACAAACAAACAAAACCCTATTTAAACTGTTTAGCATGGTTTTGCACCAATTTAAATTTGGGCATTTATACAAGGTACGTGCACATGTAGATTAATTTGGAAGTGGATCAGTATGTGTGTGTGTGTGTGTGTGTGTGTGTGTGTGTGTGTGTGTGTGTGTGTGTGTGTGTGTGTGTGTGTGTGAGAGAGAGAGAGAGAGAGAGAGAGAGAGAGAGAGTTATTTTATTCTGTTCATTTTAATGCAGATGTGGAATTGTGGGCAAGATGTAAGACATGGGAAGAGTAAGAGTGACCCTCCCCTCAAATATCTTTAGAGGAGGGAAAAAATAGAGAAGTTGGAAGAGATAGAAGAAATCATAACAAAGATGAAAGGGTGGAGAGTTGAAAAAGAATAGTTTTTATGAAATATGGGGCAGATTCTTGGAATATGTATTAACATAAGGAAAGGGGAAAGCTCCAAATCAAGAATCAATGCAGTTCTGGAGAAGAGAACAATAAAAGAAGAGGAAGAATATAGATGGAAGAAGAAGATTCCCCTACGGTCGTGGGGAACACAGTTATATTGTATTTTGATTTGTGTATTTTATTTTTTATGTGTATGTTTTAGATAATTTTTTTTAAAAAAATTAAAAAAACAAAGATGAAAGGGTTTGGGAAAGGAGGAGGAGGAGCCAAAAAAGTGAGTTTAAAAGGAGGTAGATGTTTTCCTGACCTCAGAGGAAGAAGAGGGCTCAGGGGAAACAAGAAACGTAGTGGTATTGGAAGAAGAATGGATAGAAGGGGAAGGAGAAAGAGAAGCTACTTACCTGTAACTCTGGTTATTCAAGTGGTCATCTGTGAATTCACACTAGTGGGTTTAATCTGTGCTTGCACAGAGGTCTCTGGAATGTTCTAAAGCTTCTATGCTACATTCGTGAAAGACCGCCCCCCTAGCCCACAAGGTCCACCCACCCTCACATTTACCTCAGTTCCAAGGTTTGTCTGCTGCTGCATCAAAGGATACAGGAGTGATGGACAGAGGGGAGGACAGGCGGGAAGTGTGAATTCACAGATGACTACTCAAAGAACCAGAGTTGCAGGTAACCTCTCTTTCTTCTTCGTGGTCTCTGTGAATGCACACTAATGGGTGATTGACCAGCTTACCTTAAAAGTGGAGGTCTGTCACGGAAGAAATGAAGAAAGTCCAGCTCCAGCAGAGGTATCATCATCCCTGGCTCAAAACATCTAGGAGAGGTGTCATCATCTCCGGCTCAAAATCTATAAGAGAGGTGTCATCATCTCTGGCTTAAAACCTCTAGGCGAGATATCATCATATTTGGTTCAAAGCCTAGGTTTGTGTCCTGGAATAACACATCAGGTATTAGGCAAATGGCAGTTTGAAATAGCCATGGACAGGAGTTTGTGTATGTACACTGCTGATGAAGCTGTGTCCATTGTCAAACAGAAATCAGTACCAAAAGATGAGTTGCCTGTTATGTCGGAATACCAAATGACAGCAGTAAATAATCCACTAGAAGATTGAGTTATGCCTCATCGTAAATCGAGTCCATAAAATGTGTCCTTCTTAAAATGTGGCATGATCTTATTAATTAATAGTTGGGCATGGCGGAAGAACATTAAGCACGTAGGTTAATAGATGGGAATTTCATCTTTATATTGGCCTTCGTGGTGGCTGCTAATGAGGGATTGATAGTTTCTGAAACCATACCCTGTTGGACGTCATATGTCTTTGGGGTATGGTATAGTGTTTGGTAGGGAAGGTTAGAGAAGAAGGCTGCATCAAAGAGCCAATTGAAAGGATTTCTCTCTCTCTCTCTCCTTCTTTCAATTCTGCAAATTTGTTAAACTGAAGTAATGAGGCATAGAAGTAGCTAGAATAGCCGGACCTGGCATATGGTGTGATGAGGCTTGATGATAACATTTCTTGTAGAACCATCAATCCATGTTGACATGATGGGCTATGCTTAATGTGGGCAGGAACTGTTTCATAGAAAGGGTCATCTTTGGATGACGGCATAGAACAGTGGAGTTGTGTTTTGCTTGGTTGTCGGTTTGAAAATTCCTTAAGAAGGAATAAGCTCTTCCCAATTATGGATAGCATAGGGGAAGAAGTGCTACTCATTAGGATTTAGGCAATGATGTGATGGTAATAGACCTGGATCTTAAAATGTCTTGATTGTTAGTTACGTAGGCGATGTCTTAAGACATCAGTGTCTTAAGACAACGTAGGCGATGTCTTAATTTTCCTGGATCCATATCTCATCAGGTTGCAATGGTGTACCAGGCGATTTGCATACGCTGTAGAAGATAAGCCACATAAGCGGTTGTGATAGAATTATAATGTATTCTGTCAGCGTAGTGGAATTTGAGGAATGATGAAAGATCATTCAGTAGTTGACAAAATTGAGATCGCGGAGTGAACAGTAATTATTCAATTTTGAATAAAGTGTAGTATAGTGACCTTTTTTGTAAGATTCATTAAATGTTATATGTCTAGTGTCTTTAGTCGGTGTACTGGGAAGTACTCCAGGAATCATATTGTGTTTAGGATGAAAGACGTAGTTCTTGTTTGAGGGGTAAAGAGAATATACAAATGTGAATAATGTAATCAGGATTAATCTTCTCTCCTTTTCTTTAGGTATATGTGATTTGATGATGATTATTGATGAAATGAAAGGTAAGTAGAATATCAGTGTTGATTGAAGGAGGAGATGGTTGAGTACAAGGGATTTGTTGTGTTTTTGCTTTGTTTCCAAGTATAGTGGTGCCCCGCATGATGATGATAATCTGTTCTGTTAAAATTGCTGTACAGCAAAATCGTCGTCATGTGAAAAGAGTTTCCCCACTGAAATGCATTGAAAGCAGGTTAATGCGTTCCAATAGGGAAATTGCCTCGTCATCCAGTGAAGATCCTCCATAGGGCAGCCATTTTGCAAGCACCGATCAGATGTTTTTAATTGCTGTCTTCCGAAGCAGGGGTCCAGAAAACAGCGGGAGGCCATTTTGTGAAGCCGACGATCAGCTGTAAAGATCGTCGTTTTGCGATTAAACGGCCCACGAAGCACGGACCAAGTCTCGTCAAGTGGAATTCCCCCATTGAAATGCCTGTTTTGCGAATCGCTATAGCGATCACAAAAAGGCATCGTCCTGTGGTTTCATCGTTCTGCGGGGTCATCATCATGCGGGGCACCACTGTACCTGGAAGACTGTTTTGCATGTGGTCTTGGTCACTGGTTCTTAACCTTGGGTTACTCAGGAGTTTTGGACTGCAACTCCCAGAAGCCTTCACCACCAACTGTGCTGGCTGGGGTTTCTGGGAGTTGCAGTTCAAAAACATCCAAGTAACAAAAGTTAAGAACCACTGGTCTTGGTGATGTTTGCCAAGACTGAGGTGGGAAAGTTAGTTGATTTGAGTATTTGTATCATAATATGCCTTGTATTGTTGGTAACTGTATGGACGACGCCACTGCGGTTGCTGGAATGGTTGTTAAATTTATATGACTGTTGGTAGTTAAATGATTTGGCTGTTTTCTTTAATTTTTGTAGATTTTTCAGAATTCTGTCTGTCTTTTGGTCAAAGAGACCAGAGCCAGGGTAAGTCGCGGTTGCTGGAATGGTTGTTAAATTTATATGACTGTTGGTAGTTAAATGATTTGGCTGTTTTCTTTAATTTTTGTAGATTTTTCAGAATTCTGTCTGTCTTTTGGTCAAAGAGACCAGAGCCATCAAAGGGTAAGTCCTCTATTCTTATTTTGATGTTCTCTGGAATGTGGGTAGATCTCAGCCATGCATACCTTTTTAATGCCACTGCAGACACCAACTGTTGGAAGAAGCTTCAATGATGTGTCTTGCTGTAAGACTCTCTTGACGAGCGAGGGCCATTGTTTCTTGGTGAAAGGCAAGGCCTCTTGCTTTGTATTCGCCCGTGGCAGATTGTAGAGATGGAATTGTTCCACAAGTAGCGGTGGTACGCTCCCATAGCTGTGATATAATTTGTAGCTCGGAGGACAAAGGAAGCTAGGGAATAGATTGTACATCCTGCTATGTCGAGTTTCCTGCCTTCTTTGTTATTTGGTGTCATGCTGGATTGCTTGCGTGCCTTGCTCTGAGCGGCGTCAATTAGTGAATTTGAAGGTGGATGCTTAAATAGAAACGTGGTATTGTCGCCATGTGTCCTGTAAAGATTGCCTAGTCTTTTGGACATTTGTGATGCTGAGGATGGTTTTAACCATGTCACTGATTGGTTCAAAATTGGGAAAGGATGGTGGTATTAGAACATTGTCAGAGGACACAATAAACAGTAGTCAGGTCTTGTAGAGACAACTCTTGAGGAAAGGTCTTATTTGCTTTTTTGTGCTTTTTTGATTCAGAGGTTTTTGATACCAAGGGTGTTTTAGGTGTAGGTACCGAGATGTTTCGATTCAGTGGTTTTGAATTTGATTTTTGAGTAGTCTTAGATTTGGTATTAGAAGAAACTGTCGAAGGTGCTGGTGATTGGATGGTAGGTTGTCCTCCGTGAGGCGAGGCCATAATCTGAGGTTTGAGGGATTTTTTTTTTCCAGAGAAAGGATTTGAGTCTCTGTTGTCTGAGTTTCAGAGCTTGTTTTGTAAATTTTTTACAAAACTGGCAAGATGCTGTTTGGTGAGATTCCCCTAAACAGAAAAGGCAGATATTGTGTCCGTCTGTAAGCGGAATTTTGTGCACTTTTTGAAGGTGGGACGGGTTTTGTGCACTTTTTGAAGGTGGGATGGGTTGCCATAAATGGCGGGAGGTAAAAGAAAAAGGGGGAAAGGGGGGGGAGTCCAAATAATGTACTTATCTTTGATAAATGTAAAGGAAATACAAAAATAAAATAGTCCTAATGTTCTTCTATAGAAGCTAAGACGAACGCAGCATCTCGATTGGAGAGAGACCTCATGTGGTGGCGACAAAAAGGAACTGAGGTAAATGTGAGGGCAGGCGGACCTCGTGGGCTAGGGGGACGGTCCTTCACGAACGTAGCATAGAAGCTTTAGAACATTCTGGAGACCTTTGCGCAAGTGCAGATTAAACCTATTAGTGTGCATTTACAGAGACCATGAAGAAGAACTGTGAGTATTCCAAATCCCACAGAAAGGGATAGGTGCTGAAAGTCGAGACTTGAAAGAGACTGAGAAGAAGTTGAAAGAAGGGAAACCGATAATTGAGGGACTGGGACCAGAAGAATGGACAGTCTTGGTATACCCATGAGGACGAGGTTCCTGGAAGAGGGTGATTCGTCCGGGGCCAGTCCAACCTCACGAGAAACCCCCCGAGGGAGAGTGTTCACATCATCCTTGCTGTGGGACAACCTGTGCAGTAAGGAGTGGATGTCTGAGAAGACTGACAGATCAGGAGCGTTTTGGTCAGTCCTTCTGGTAAAAAGAGACACTTACGAAAAGACGTTGCCCTTGTTGTGGGCTGACTTACCAATTAATAATGAACCTACGGATCCTGTAGAAGTTGTTATTGAAAAACCTGATGACTTTGTTAATAAAAGTTTGTTCAAAGAATCTCCTCTCTTGTCGTTTCCCGCCAAAAACAAGGAACTGTCAGACTTTGACAAACAACCCGATCACAGGAATCGATAAGAAACAATATACCGTATTTTTCGCACCATAAGACACACTTTTCCCCCACAAAACAGGGGGGGCGGAAAGTCTGTGCATCTTATGGAGCGAAGAAAACGGATTATATTTTCCTGTTTTCTTCTCCTAAAAAATTGGTGCGTCTTATGGAAAGGTGCGTCTTATGGAGCGAAAAATACGGTAATATCCATCTTCAAATGTTTGAAAAGGTGTCACATGGAAGATAGAGCAAGCTTGTTGTTCTGTAGCTCCAGAAGTAGGACCTGAAATGACACATATAAGCTGCCCATATAGAATAAGCTCAGCAGAAGCAAGAAAGTTTGCCAAAATTTGGTATGGAAAACAGCTAATGCAAAAATTATTAACAAAAGTCTTCATGTTGAATTATCAGCCCCACTGGAAATATGGGGCGGGGGGTTTAAGGGGTAGGAAAGGTAGTAAATTGTGTACCATCCAACTTTTATCCTCCCAACATTAGATATTTTAAAGCTCTAGCCATTCCCTTTCCTGTATCAACTTTCTATAAGGAGAAACATCTGCACACCAGATTAACATAACATCAGGGCAAACATGAAACCAAGTGTCCGGTTGTTTCTGCAATACATTTCTGTTCCAAATCTAGCTAATGTATTTACTATATGATGCAGATAGTCTTTAAAATAGGCAATTGAACCAAACCTGAAGCCAGAAGGCCAAAGGCAGCTCAAAGTGATAAAACCTAACTGACTCTAACGTCTCGTTTGGCCTACATGTGAATGAAACTGGACCCCGAATGAACACGCAAACATAACTGAGAGCCTGGCTCCTGATCTAGCCGAAGAGAGACAGTCAAAATTGACAAAGAGAGAAGGTCTGGGCCAGCGGTGTTCTATTGTCTCCTTCATTTATCTTGATTCAAATGTATGACTCTGATGAGGAAAAGGTCAACCAATTCGAACAGTGTACTCGTTTCAAATTTCTGAATACATATATTCCAGAAAACAGGTTAGGAACAGAGCGAAATGGTTTGCAGCCAGAAGTAAAATAGCAGATTGGAACTCTATTCCTCTTCCACTTTGCAGTCAGGGTGTATTCTTAATTATAATCATGTGCCGTCAAGTCGATTCTGACTTTTCAGGGTTTTCCATGTAGAAGTTGTTTGCCATTGCCTTCTTCTGGGGGCCCCCTGAGATTGTGCAGCATGCCCAAGGCCACTTAGACGGGCTCTTCTCTCAGGAGACACAGTGGGGAATTGAACTCCCAACCTTTGGCTCCACAGTCAGATACCTAAACCACTGAACTGTCCAGCCAGCACAATACCTATATCAGTTGTGTTATTTTGGAACCAGTAGCAGCGAAACCCACCTTATCTGCTTGCAAAAATACAACCACAATAAATTAAATTGTTAAATAACATGGCAACTTCCCTTTTCTTTTTTACATTAACGGGAAGCAAGGCCAGAGAAGACCAGTCACTGAAGTAAGTCCTACTCCAAGTCAGCGAAATGTAGGTATCTGTAGATGTGTGCTTGTGGGCTGACGATCCCAGAATTTTGCCAGGGAAATTCTGGGAATTGCAGTCCAAAAACACAAAAATGCACGCCCCTATTGGTCACGTCCACAGGTACAGTCAGATGTCTGCCTTGGTGGTCCACCTATGGATTCAAATGCTAGAGGAGCCACCACTGGATTGGGCCCATAAAGAATTTTGCACACAAATGGACATACACTGTTACTGCCATGTAGCTTACCAGCACTTAAATTTTGCAAGCCATCATGCAGAGTGCATGAAGGATTCTGAATATGTACCAGCATGAGACATCTGCTGTCTGATAATTCCTGTCTTATCCAAGAATGCTCAGGACTGAGATGTAATCAGACTTGCTGCGCTTTGTCGAAGAACAGAATATTGGAGACTGGCCAATAACAATCCAGTACAGAATGGTGGGGGTTCAGGGAGACGTTCTTCAACAGCACTCTTACCACTGCCTCTTTTTAGGCATGTTGGAACCTTGCCTTCTTGAAGAGGAGCCACCATTCCCCTTACTCCCTTGACCAGCCCGCTCCCCCAGGCTGCTTCAATGAGCCAGGAAGGCCAGTGGATGTGGCCAGCTCTCATCTCTGCAAGGATCCTTTCCATAACAGCAAGCTGCGCAAGCTGGAGCCTGTCCCCTGTCACGGGAAAGTTATATCCATGGGGACTATGCCAACTACAGCATATAGGTCAGAAGAGCTCTAAATGATTTTTTTTTTAATCTGCAAAGTGCTGTGTAAATTGTTGACTGTGGTCTCAATTCTCCTCCTGCGAGCCAAGGCATTAAAAGCTTGTGAAACAGTTGGAAAACGCACTTGACAACTCTGAGCAGACACAATGCTAGCAAAGAAGCCTGATTTCTTTCTTCCCAGAGCCACCACAGCACTGGAAGTAGTGGGGGACTCAGGATGAGGCGCTATTCCCTGCATTCAACCAGATCTACTCCCAGTTTCCTGCCTTTGTTATCCTAGTCACTGTACTCTTGATTTCTATAATCAATAGAATAATTACAGATGCCCATCCATGCACGTATTATGGAAAAATTAACCTCCTCATACCAGCAGAATTTTTCTGTATTGGAGATTCATATGTGGCTACCCTGCCCCTAAAGCCCCAAACAGATCGGAAGTACAGTAAAGTATTTCAGAAGCTACCTCCTGAAAAATTACGTGGGTCTCTGGGGCTGCTGCCTGTACCTTCCTCTCATTGGTTGCGAGTGGCTCTAGATAGTGCCGATTGAGTCACAATTCAGAGCCTGATATGACTTTCCCTGAGAGGAATATCTGGCTCTTTGACTTTAGACAAGCAGCAATAAGTTTGTTTAATTAAGTCTTTAAGGAACATTCTCCTGAAGAGTTTTACAGCTGCTACTGCTTTTAACCTGGCTGTAAAAAGTTGTCGATTATTTGAATGATTGTTCACTGTTAATTGCTGTCTGCTTAGTACTTTGGTTATGTTTTTGATCAAGGAAAGTGGGCAGAAATACCAGAAACCAATAATATAAGGTCTGTGAGAACGGTAACTTCAAATGCCCACAAGGACTTTTTTAAATGGTACATGGAATGTAAATCAAGTGTGTTTTATGCATTTCCTCAAAATGAAGTTTCTTCCTGAAGCACTGCCATGAAAATGTTCCAAATGAATTCAGAGTTAGCCAAGCCCAAATATCTGTGGTTGTTCCAACAAGCTCATATTTCAGATAGAAATGATTAAATCTTGCCCAGGAGTTTCCATCAACCAATGCTTTTAAAACAGAATCTTGAGCAGTCAGCTGTGTGCTATAAAAGGTGCGATTTCAGAGCACACCTGAAACCAAATTATATCCTACAGTCACTTGCCATATCCCCATCTATCCTGTTCCTTATTTCTCACTGTATGCCAAAACAAATACACCATGGACAGAAGACTCCTCTTGTTCAAATGCCCAACCAAGCAATGGTGGAAAATGAAACTAGGTAGCAAAGGAATTGTGGGTGGAAGCCACTTGGCAATCGTTCAGTGATAAGGGCTCAGCATTATCCAAAATATAATTTGGCCCTCTGCTAGAAAGTGTGGATATAATTAGGGAGGGCTATTCTCCTGGAAGTATCCCTAGTGGAAGGCAATTGAGAGCTCATACAATAGTTAAACTGTAAAATGAACCTGTGCCTTTACCATTTTTTATATTCAGTTTGGGCTATTTTCCTGTTAAACAGCTGGTTGGAAGCACATAAAACTCTGCTCCGTCCTATTTCCCTTTGATTTCCTTCCTGTCTAAGGATACTGTTCTGCAAGAGACCTGATTAAGTTTGATTCTTTGACCATATCTGAAATGTTCTGATCTCAAAGTAATGTGTTCCTTAGAGCAAAAGTGTTTGAGTACGCTAGTTAGTGTGCTATGTGCTATTAAGCTGGAACTAATTTATAGTGATCCTAATAGGGGGTTTCAAGGAAAGTGAGATATTTAAGGAGTGGTTTTACCAATTCCACTCCTCCAGTCTGTATCCATGGATGAGTAGGGGATCCAAACACGGGTCTCCAGAATACTAGTCCATCACTCTATCCATTACACCACACTGAATACCTTTAAGTATGCTAGCCCACCAATATTCATTAAATATATTCCAGACAATAAGGGCACCCAAGGAATGGATTCAACAATGGGAGATACCACTGTAATCAAATCCAGGTCCCACTTTTGAAGAAGTTGGCATGTAGCAAATATTTGGAAAAAGCCGGGCAAAATACTGAAGCCTAACAGAGCCCTGAATTTAGTTAAAGCCCAAGAAAGGCAGAATGTTCTGCACAGGAGGGTTAAGTATACCCAGTTAGCAACTTTATGGATGGCATTTATCTGGCCTGTTCTGGCATGACGTTGCTTAAAAGCACACGGTATGCTAAAAGGAATGTAATTTGTCAAGCAAACAAAAATTAATTTTGAGAGCAGAAGAACCCAGTAGGTTGGATTCAGATGTAATCACAGCCGTATAAAAATCAAGCCACTTTGTTCCCTTAACTTCAATCGGACTACTATAAGAATAACTATATCTGGCTCCAGTCTATCATGTTCTGTCATTAAAGGCCAAATCAATAGCCACAATTCTTGCTGCTTAGTGTAAAAAACCACATTAGCGTAGGCCCACTGAATCAACAGGGATGTGGTGACTCCCCATTAGGCCTCTCTAACTACAACTTACTTTAGCTTAGTAAGTCACAGAGTGGGTCTGTAGGGTCACAAAGTGAGAAGGCTGATAGGCTAGGTGATCAACAGATAACTAGGATAGCAAATAGTCTTAGAAGTTAAAGAAGTCAGCCACACACACACAAGGATGTCTGAAAGCAGTGCTCCTGATGGGCGAGTAGATCTTTCACACCCCCAGGAGGACTCTCTTTTATTAACCTTACAACCTCACAGATAGTTGACAGAGGTCAGATAGGACAATGGTTACATCATGCCATTATGATTGGCTCAAATAAAGGCTTTGAAGTTAGGTGGGATATAAATAGAATAAATAAATAAAATAAAATATGAGAAAGAGGAAGAATGTGTAGCCACGCCTTTCAGAAGCAGCCGCATCTTGCTAGGAGAGTATGCCCTCACTACAACAACAATGTGGCTTAGCAACCTCGGGGAGGGCACTCTAACATGGGTCCATTTGAATCAATGGAACTTATGATGAGTTCATTGCCCATCGATTCAATGAGCCTATTCTAATGCAATTTACTATGCTAAGTAACAAGATTTTGGCCATGGTTGTACAAAACATGTTTTTAGCAATCTTAATATACAGTGGTGCCTCGCTTAACGGGTGCCGCGTTTAACGATACTGTTACTGCCATCCTTTGCTAAGTGACCATTCTCAGAGAGATCTAGACTAGATGTGCCAGCCAAAATTTTGTGTGTCTTATCAGAAATCACCAAAAGGCGCTGCATGCATTCTGCAACCAACCAATCTGGCTATGTTATGTTATGATTTTTGTTATTTTTGTCACCATCTCCACTGAACAAAGCAGTTAAGAGCCATATCCTACATTCTGTCCCCAACAAAAGCTTGTAAACCTTGATAAAAGCGCATTCTTCTTTATTAAAAGGTAATATAATAGCAAAGGCTAGTATCCTGTTAATTAAATGTGCAGTGAAAGGAAAATCATGCAACTGTCCCACCTGTTCCTGTAGCTTGCTTATTGCATGCCCACTCGTGCATTTGTTGTAAGAAGGTCATACAACTCATGACACGACAAGGAGCCAGTCAGAGTGGGCAGAATACTTATGCAATTTCTCTTACACTCCAGTGTTAGGCAACAGAATACTAGACAAAGTCTCTCTACAACCAGGGCCTCTAAGCAAGCACACGGCAACGTGGAAGTCTTATTTACAAAATACATGCAAAAGGATCACTTGAAGGGACCACCAGCGGAACTGGCCAAGCTTCTAAGAGCAGCGCGGATCAGCTGTAAGGCGGGGAGAGGGAGAGGCTGGAGCGGAGAAGATGGCAAAATGGCCGCCTGCTGTGTTTCTGCCCTGATTCCTCGCTTACCAGGCAGCGAAAATGGTGGCCATATGGAGGATTTTCGCATAAAGGTGAGTTTGTCCCCATAGGAACGCATTAAACAGAGTTTAATGCGTTCCTATGGGGTTCCCCCCCCCGCATAGCGATGTTTCCGAATAGCGACATTAATCCTGAAACGGATTAACGTCGCTATGCGGGGCACCACTGTATGTGTTAAAATGAATGAATAAATAAATTGTTGCCAGAAAATGGAGATTTTCATCAGGGTTGTAAGTGCACAGAGAAGGAAATTTAGACTTTCTTTCCTGTCTGCTGTGCTCCCTACCCCCAATACGCTCAACCCCAAAAAGGAATAGCATGGTAAAGGAGAAAAGGGCTAAATCTTTATTCCCTACAGGCAAGGAAGATTAGGGCCCCCCTGCATGGACTCGTAAGCTGTTTTAAAATCTCAATATGATTCTTGAAGAAATGGTATGCACCACATTTGGCCCTAAATCACAGAAAACTCAACCCTCATGTGTGGTTTGAGAAGGAATAACACATGAAAAACCTAGCAAAAACACTCTAGAAATTTCAGCCTTGTGTACCCCAGTTCTAAGTGCCTTCTTTGATTATGACTTTGTGGTATGGGAAGAGAGATCACTACAAGCAGTAAGCCATACCTGTTTTGTTAGGATATGAAAATAATACCTGCTTCCCATTAGCTGAGGAGGTAGAAGGAGCAAACCAAATAGGCAGAAGGATGGTATGGCCTGTATCTTTTGGTTGGCTGCCAACTTGTTCGGTGGATTCAATTGCCAATTAAAGGTTGCAGAACAATCAGGTCCCTTCAGTGGAGACAAGCACCTGGCAAATCCCCACAAAGAGAAAAATACCGTAACTGGCTAAATTTGGAGAAGGTATTTAGTTTCTTTTGCATCTACCTGATTTCATATTGCATCACGAGCCATTAACCCATCCTTGCAGAATGGCATGCTTATAATATACTCTACCTACGTAATATGTATGTCAGTGAGCCACAGAGATTGTTATGTCTATGCATACAGAAGAACTCTCTTTGCGGGCACAGTTGTGCAGCAATTCAGGAACATGGCTATGAGTAGGTATATTTATTTTATCACACTGTACTTTTACCAATCGATATTAACATTCAAAAAGCTAGAAAAAAGTCTGAATAGTGCTGAATTTTAAGCCAAAAAAAAATCACAGATGGTCTGACTTATTCAACTTTAAATAATTGGCATCTGCCCTGATTTTTCATATACTTATTAAATCAGTACAAAAAAGAGAAACATTTAAAATTTATTTATAAACATTTAATGCTGGTTAGTAAGTATGAAAAGACTGGAGACACTTTTTGTCTAAACAGTAGAGGGTGGTTTTGGCTTTCATATCTACCATTACCTGTAGATCTAAAGTTGCGGCTTATTCCATAGAAAATTATGCTTCCTGTATACTGGATAACACAGTAACTTCCCAAAAGGTCTGACTAAATCTGCTATTATGACACAGCGCATTTGATGCATCTCTTCAACATATGCTTTGGTTATATCCAGGTAATCTCTTTCAGGGAACGAGTCATTACTAGACATATTAATTTTGAACAGCATTTGAATGTTTGTAGATCTATAAAGGTAAAGGTTCCCCTTGACAACTGTCCATTTTGTTAAATATATATACACGAAAAATAAACCAATGCTCAAAGGAATGGATTCTGTGTGACCTTATGATGGCTAAGCAATTGACATTGCAACACGGGAAGGACAGAAGCCAACTCCCCATTTATCACTGTAAGGGTGACCTCATAAACTGCTGGATAGCTGGTTTGTCTTTTATCACATTTTATGCCTATATTTAATTTATTTTATTTTGGACTTTACCTCTCTCCTTTATGAAGCTAGTATTGTTCTTCTACTCTTGTTCCTGCACCCCGCTTAAAATTTGGATAATATGCATCTATTTATTTGGAGGTATTTTTCCTTTTTTCTGTTCGTCTACTTTAGTTCCCCCCCCTTTTTTTAAATGGCATACACACAATAAAATGTATTAAAATCATTTTAATAGCTGTAATAATCACATATCTAGAATGTGATATTTATAATCAATCCATTTTACAAATACCTTTGAAATATGAAGTATACCTCCAAGAGGTCTTACCAAGCTCAGAATCAATATAAGCTATCATATGATAAAAGTGACAAAATTGTTTTTTCTAAAAAATAAATAAAATGGTCAAACATGTTCAATTATGTTATACTTGCTTTTAATTTAAATTCAATAATTTTTGTTTAAATCAGTAGTTAAAAAACTGGAGGAGGATTCAGAGGAAGCTAGTGCTTAATCCTCAGACTCTGTTTTCTCCCAGACTTCACAGTTTTTAATCAATTTGAGAAGTCCACTTATCTCACTTTCTGTTTCTTTCTTGCCTGAAATTGTTCTGTTTTGTTCTTGACAGATTTGATTAGCATTGACAATGAAGGATCCATGGATTTCTTGGAAGCTGGTTTCTTTTCTGCCGCATCGTCAACTTTCCCAGCTGTATCAGCCAACCCTTGTTGTCTTCGACGAGCTTTCTCTTCCAAAATCTTTTCCACTGCTTTTGTTTTCTTGAAGTTTGGATCTGAAGGATCCAAATTAAACAAATGGGAAGTATATATGGCTTGGAATCTGGCATCAGCAACATTTACCTAGGAGCAACAAAAATGATGCTTTAATTATGACCACAAAAAATAGGAAGAACTTGGGACTGTATAATGCTGACTAGAAACATCCCAATTTACTTTTCTGTTGGAGTATGGGAAGGAGCTATTTTTACCACCTTCTCTCTCTATCTGTAGCCCTTTGCTCTACAGCATATTCATTTTCAACAGTCCTCAAGCCTGAAAGAGGATATTTGAAGAGGTCTGGAAGAAGATGGGAAAGACCAATTCTATGAACTCTGTTTTGTTAGGATTCAAGCCACTGTTATTACACCTCCCCCGCTCAAAACTCCAATGTCTCCTGTGTCTTTTTCAGAGCCAAACAGATGCTTTTTTACCACTGTGTCAGCCAACATGACCTCCTACAGTTTTTATTATAATTGTACAATATGTATTCACATGTATGCATAAATCCTTATTTCTATAGTCCTCTCATTCTGTTTGTGGACATTCAAGAATCACTCACATGAACAGATCTGCCAAGCTGTTTTGCATACAATATAATTAGGCAGCAAAAAATTGAGCTGGCTCTAAATGCCCAGGGAAAAAAATGTTCCTCCAGAAATCCCACCTGTAAGCACAAGAAACCTACACACCATTGGAAATTTATCAGATAATAGATGAGCCACAAAAAAGGGTACAAAACTTTTCAAACTACTGGTACAGGTTTCTTGGTCTGGAAGCCAATCCTTCAACTCTCTCTTGTGAAAGTATATTAAAATGTGTTTTCATGTAAATAATAAAGGTAGTTAGTTATTGACCTATTTTAACTCAAAATGACCAGCACTGTATTTCAAAAGTATAAAACCAAGTGTGTTACCTGGAAGTCATCTGTCAGCAGTTCCTTCTTTTTCATTAATAGCTTCTTCTTCTTTTTGCTCAGGTTCTGCTGTTCCACTATCTTGTCATAATTGAAGTGCTGCCTTTCATCCTCCTCCTCCTCCATCACAAGCAGAGCCATTTCAGCCTGCTACAATTAGAACATATAAGACTTGTTTGTACAACATTTCACAGAATATGGGTTGCAGATGTTTCTGTGTCTTGTCCAGAGACTGAGCTGCTAATGTATAACAGGAACTGTTCTAACTCCTTATCTGTTTACAAAACACTTTTATTGGAAAGTATCACAGTACTTTATAATGAAAGTAAAGGCAATTAAGGGCATCATTCTCAATACAGTGAGGTTAGACTAAGTATTTTTGAGCAGATAACTATGATTTGCTTCTTATGCTTTCCTTCCATTCTTCCTTTGGCAAGTTTAGCATAGTTTGTATGGGGCTCCCAAGGTTATTTCCTATCCAGATCCTGACCATACTGAGAATTGCAGCTTTCACAATATAGCATCAGTATGCACCCCAAAAAGAGAACACTCTTTGAATGATGCCAATGCAACTCATGCCATTCCTGGTTACATGCGTGGGAGACAGTCTTGGATTTAAACACATACAAAAGCATGTGCAGAATATTATATACATCCCTGATAGCATATATGGTCTAGTTCTTACATCTCAGCCCCAAAGTAACTTCTGTGTCCTACTGTGGGAGCACCTTTTTCAAGGTTGCCAGCTGCATTCCCGTTTCAGTGTAAGAGCACACTCTCCAGGCAGGGAACAGTGGCTCCTGGGGGAGGGCGACTGCCCATTCTGCCTCTTTTCCCTTAGAGTCAGAGCATAACTTCAAAGGCTTTCTCCGGCCAATCTTAAGTGGCCATTAGGTAACCAATACCCTATCTTAATTCTATCAATAATCTGTAAGATTGCTAAAGTCAATAAAAGGGAGTTCTTGGGGCGTTGCATCTTCGAGTCAACCTAACTTCTCTCTAAAATTAATTGCTTTCTCTTTGTTCTGTGATCACCTTCATAATTAGCCTTTCTTTAGTTTTGTGTGATCACTACATCCTACCATGTACTGAGGGGCAGTTTTAACCAACTCTTTGATTACACCCACAAGATGTAGGAATGGGCTAGGGTTTTATGACACACTAGCCATAACTCATCGAACATAAGTACTTTCTGTCTAATTTCCCATTCTGTTTTGGCACAGCTTTCTTCTTTCAGCCAACAATCAGGTCACATTAATTCTAAAGTACTTTAAAAGGAATACAAGTTATTTAAAAAAAAGAAACATGAAAATGGCATACATCTAGGACCACGTCCATTAAGCAGCTGGGTTTACATGTAGTAGATCAAAACTTGCTTATCAAAAGATTAGTTTTTGAACTTTATATTGAAAAGGAAATAATGAAATATGAAGAACCCAGTACCCAGTGTGTTGCTGAGCAGAATCTGGTTTACTGCACTCAAATGTCAGCTTAAGATAAACAAATGCTTTAAAATGCTGTTTGTGAAAAACAGTGATAAAATATGCCAAAAGTTTTCAATGTATAGATATATAAATTTGCAGATTTTTTTAAATTAGACAAGTAATCTGGGTCAACACTGAGCATAAGAACAGCAAGATCTGCCATTTACATATAACACACAAAAGTCACAATCTACAACACAGCTGATCATATAAAAATCTTATTGAATGTTTATCCACAGCTCGCACATTGAGCACTTGGCCTGGTGACAGGATGCAGCCATTGTTTCCATGTACTCAATGTGATTACATTGGCCTGGTGACAGGTCTACATCCTTATGCATCAATGTCCAAACACAAGCTCTGAATAATACAGCGTGCAAAAGGTCAACAAACTCTACCCAGCCACAAGGACAGGGGATCACTACACACAAAAGACCAGCTAATGACACCCATCAATCACAGTGACAGATAATCTCTCTTCCTTATCACAACAATACACCCACAACAAGACACGCTAATCACCCATCTTCTGAAAGGACAAAAGCCTATCTCACAGCCATAAATACTCTACTGGCAAGCATACTACACCATAGCACAGAGAGCTGTCCTCTGAAGATGCCGGCCACACAGACTGGTGACACGTTAGGAAGAACAACCTTCAGAACATGGCCAAAGAGCCCGAAAAACCCACAATACCATGCAATATTCACTGTCCTTCCCAGCTACTGCCAAATGTTGGGTATCACTGGCCACAAACACTATGTTTGCTACATTTAAACTCTGCACCAAATCTGTGGGGATGCAGTGATGACTCAGGCCAGACGAGTAGCCTCTTGCTCTGTGCCAATCAATATGTAGGTACACCTGGAAACAAACTGAGAACTCTGTACAGACACTTCAGCAGGCAGGAATACTCTCTATAGAAACACCAAAAATGCTTAATAAAGATCCACTCATTTTTGGTACTCTAAACTGGGGACTCAGTTTTATGCAAACAACTGTAAACTATTTCAAAGGACAGCTAAATGTATGCTCTGCTTAGAGATTAAAAAGAGAAACCATATTATATTGATACAGTTCAATATGCACAAGCCTATGAGAAAATGTGAACTGGCTCTTCCTCTAACCAAAGCACTCTTGACAGTGACGCAACCAAGGAGACCTCTAAACAGCTGCTTAGAAGCTTGAGGGACAGAGTCAGACTGATGTTATTCAACCCAATGAGTTACGTCGAACCTGCTGCTGCATTAATCCCTGGGGAAAAGGGAATACCAAAGTGACTGTACTTCCCCTTCCATTTGCTCCTTTTTCTTCTGATTGGGAAAACTGGATCACACAGTATGGGTCTGGTTAGTTTGGACGTCCATGCAAATGAAGAGGTTTTCAAGTAACAAACTCTTTACATCACTGATCTCTATTTCATGGCTGGTTATGATTACTTGAAAACACTGCACCTCTTTACTGAGTTTACTTTTTCTACTAAAAAAATATTTTGCGAATGAGAATGAAAACTAATGTTTAAAGTAAAACACAGAGCTGAGAAATCTGCTGATGAGCAGCTAATCCTTTAGGATTGCTGTAGCCAAACACCATACTGTATGCTAGTATTCAGGTTAAAGAATGATCTCATTATTATTTCAACCTGAAGATGTAACATTTCGTCTCTTTGCTTAAAACACACAATCCAACCCTTTCATACTTGAACTTCCTGACTCTTTTCACCCCAGACAGTGAACATGTAGTAAAATACACTCATTGGCAGGATCACATCACTATGACTAATCTTAACACTATTTCAGCACTTTTTCCTCTACCTTATGCTTTTCTGTATCCTCTTGCTTTTCTTGGGTATCTCCTTTTTTCTTCAACTTCTTCTTTGTACCTTATCACAAAAACAAATAAAGGATTACAAATACACATATTTAACTGAAAAATGACGAGTATGACTTCCCTCCATATACATATTCTAAAATACTATCTTTTTAATATTAAATAAGTTATGAATCATAACAAAGATGTCCACATAAAATTCTTGAACCAGAAACTATTCTGAATTTTGAGTAAGTGGAATGTAACAGTTAAGGAATACGAAGACCTTCCTACATATTTTTCTTATGTAAATTTACAGCCCTGAGCCACTAGAAAGGCCCTTCTTTTCTCAGAACAAGTCCTATATAAGCTTATTAATATTCATAACATACATACTATACCATACATAAATCCTTCTGCATAGCTAGGAATCCAAGAGCACTTTTCTCTTCCTTCCAATAGCTGTGATGGCCCTCTAGAATGGTATATTCTAGGGGGTACTACTACCACAACAAAAATTCATATGTTCTCCCTTGCCCCCATGTACATATGAAAATACATTCCCCTCTGAAGTGGCACAGGAGCACACCACTATCAGAAGTGGCTAAAGTCATATTTGCTTGCAAGTGGTTCAAGTACAGTTTTCTGTCCTTTTCCAATTCCAGTCCAAAAAAACCCAACCTCCCCCCCCCAAAAAAACCCAACTTCCTCAAACAACAGCAATAACAAACCCTCTTGATATAACTATAATTCATTTAGCCTTTTGTGTAAATCAAGATCAAAGTATTCCACTGTCCCTGAATATTCTGGAGTCTGACTCAGAGTTTACAGGGCCCCATTACATCAAAAAAATGAAGCCAATGACATCTTAAAAATAGCACTGAGACCTGTACTAGGCATTCTAACACAGATAAAATAATAACATGACAATCAGGGCAACAAGAAAGGCAGGTGCAAAACAGAGGTCTCAGAAAGAAAAAGAAGTAGAGGAGGATCAGGTTATAAGGAGAGAAGTCAAACGTTCACACTGGGGGTCATTAATTACTATTTTGTTTTTCTGCCAAGCCCACTGACAAAGAAATCTTCACAGCTTCAAATACATTGCATATGAAACAGAATGGGGAAGAATAAACCAGGAGCAATCTTATTTGTGAATAGAACATCCCTTCCATGGAGATGTCTGTCCAGTTTCAGCCAAACAGATGCAGATGCTTTTAGAGAACTAAGGAATGACTTGATGGACCTCTTTCTTTATTATTTTCTGAGAAATATGCTTGAATACATTACAGAATATACAGAATAGATGCCGATAGCTAAGCGTCGTGCAAAGTTTCAAAATGAATTATATGTACAAGTTAGAAACTTGTGAGTAAGAAACAGTATGTGAAGCTATCAAAAGAAAGATTTTATTCCCTACTCACTGTAACAGCTTCCAACAGGTTTTCTCTACACCCCAACATACTGTGTATGGAGTAGAAAAAGACATTTGGTAAAGTCATCAGAAACTAGAGTGGTCAAGAACAGAGCTGCTCCCCTTTGCTCCAAAAGGTCCTTTCATTTCCATTGCATTGTCCATTAATAGAGAATTTTGAGGATGCTATAATACTGTATTGAGTAACTAAAAACAACTTAGAAGTTCTCTCAATTTTTTTAAACCTTTGGATTCTGAGGTGGTTCAAATACAGTGGTGCCTCGCTAGACAGTTATTTATTTATTTAT